AATTCATTTTTAATTAAGTTTATGATGTTTTAATTATAATCAATATTAGCATAATTAATAATAGTAATTATAATGAAATAATAGTGATGTTAATAATAATAATAATAATAATAATAATAATAATAATAATAATAATAATAATAATAATAATAATAATAATAATAATAATAATAATGTTATAATTAAAACAAAACATTTTTTTTTAAATAAACCCAAAAGCTTAATCGGACCACTGTTTTTAAATATTGGGCCTCAATAAAATGATTTGTTTTATGGACCTCTTTGTTTAAAATTGGGCTTTTAACAAGACGTGACCCTATATGGGCCCTCTGTTTCGCAACATACATCCCCTTTTCAATGCTTGAAATGGATTAAAAAATTACATGGGCCCTTCTGATTTAGAAAGACCCATGATTTTTCAAAATAATGTACTCCCATTATAAAAATTCACCTTCTCTCAAAATATGAATGAACCCTTAATGGTCCATCCGATATTGATGGTCCACTTTAGATAAATACACATTTCTTCCATGTTTTAAACCCCCATCGAAATAAAACCTACATAATATGATTTAATTAGAAACCTAGATATAATATAATGATATGGCAAATTTGGGGTATGACAACCGCCCTTATTTAATTACCTTTTGATTGAATAGTGCGAGAATATGCAGGTCTCGCACGTTCTGATCGGAAGTTTATTAAATATTGAAAGACCCCAAAATTTGTCCAGAAGATTATAAGTATACGTTGTACAATGTTCCTATGGGTAAGAAGAATAGGCATAGATGATGATGCATCATCTTACCAGCGTTTGAACCAAAGTTTTTTTTTATAGAACTTAGACACGACGACGCGGATAACTCATCAGTATCTAAGAGATTGTAGATTCTTTTGCATATTTACAAAAAATACAAGTTTTAAAAAAAGTTAACTTACTAATGTTTGGAGACTAATATAGTAAGTTTTAGTTTTATTTGATTTTGTCTATTCATCGCAACCTAGGAGATCAATAAAACAAAGTCTGATAATACATTGCTACCTGGAGACTGATGCAATGGATTATGCATATTTATTCGCATATCTATCGCAACCTAGAGGATAAATAATTTAAGAAAAGGTTGATAACTACATTACTGCATGGAGCCTAACGCAATGAGTTATATCACGGATTTCCTACATCATTGCATGGACACTGATGCAATAGGTTATATGGCAGAAAAAGCTTGATAACAACATTGTTGCATGGAGACCGATGCAATGAGTTATATCATAGAAAAAGTTGTTTTTTTATGATCAAATCTTAGATAGCTAGATCAAAGATGAGATCAGATTTTTTTACCAGTTATGTCTGCTCTCAACCAAGGTAATTGTTTAGCATAAAAATTCCAGGTTCGAGGATTGAAAATGAAGTTTCGCTGATGATGCCGGCTATGTCTATTCTCAACCAAGGCTAACAACATGAAGAAATGCACTCCAAATTCACTGATGAAGTCGGTTGTATCTGTCCTCAACCAAGACTATCATCATGAAGAAATAAACCTCAAATATTTCTTATATGTACATGCACCAAATATTACGAATGACCTTGATACTTTGATATGGTTATGTGTATGTCATGCTTGATGTGAGTCTCTTAGTAGGAAATCTAATGCCGAGATTTCTAAGGAATATACTTCCGAGATTCAATTGTGAACTACCTTCTGCCGAGATCTTCTAGATAATCAACTGCTGAGATTAACTAGGGGAATTTACTGTTGATATTCAATTGTGAACCACCTTTTGATGAGGCCTTCTAGATAATCATCTGCCGAGATTAACCAGGGGAATCTACTGTTGAGATTTAATGTAAAATTACCTTCTGCCGAGGTCTTCTGGATAATCAAACATCGAAATTAACCAGGGGAATTTGCTGTCGAGATTCAACATATAATTACCTTCTCCCGAGGTCTTCTGGATGATCAAATGTTGAGATTTACCAGGGGAATTTACTGTTGAGAATCAACGTAGAATTACCTTCTACCGAGGTCTTCTGGATAATCAACTGCCAAGATTAACCAGGGGAATCTGCTGCCGAGATTCTGTTGAGAACTACCTTCTGCCGAGGTCTTCTGGATAATCAACTGCCAAGATTAACCAGAGGAATCTACTGCTGAAATTCAATGCAAAATAGATAACTTAATTTGTCAATGATAATTATCTTCATATGAAACATGGTTTTATGCCATGCGTGCAAATTTGATTGATGTATGAAATGTAATGATTGATTGATGCATATAGTGAGTGACTTGGATATGTATCAACAGATGTTGGATTTTGAAATGCAAATGTGTAATTGGACTTTTTGAGGTATGCTCGGTCTAAGCTTTCGGAATTCGTCAGATATATTAGATGATAAGTATAACTCGATTCTGGATCAAGGAGCCCTAATGCATGATTTATGCAGCCTTATACTTTAGGATTATGACTCGAATGGGTTTTTTTTGAATGGTGCCCCTGGGATGGGTCGTGGATGATTAAAGCGTAGAGGTTTGCCTATGTAAGAAGTTTTCTTGTTACATGATGGTTGGATGTTATGCCATCATGATTTCTCGATACTCAATTTGAACTCGAAGATTGCTGATGTATGAGAAGGACCTATTGATGATTGTGAAAGTACGTAGAGAGCTTGCCCCTTGATGAACTATTTTTGAACCAACTCCTTTTGATTGAGCCTCGCAGTGGTTTGTCCCAATATTTGAATTTAGAAAGATATGCCCACAATCTCCATGATCTGGAGGAATTACCCTTTAGAAAGAACTTGGACTTCACCATTAACTTTGATATAGATTTTCCCCAAGTATTCGAAGCTATAAAAATTTGTACTTGAAGTTGCTTGAAGGGGAACTTGGACCCTACGTGCAATTGGATGAACTTAGTACGTACTTCCCCAACATTTGAATCTTGGAAGGTTGCCCCTGATTATCAAGGCCCTGAGAGGTTTTTTAAAAACGAGGAAACTGATTCATACCCTATTGTGATATGACTTGATTAAGGAATGCCCCTTCGAAAGGTATGTCCATGATTGAACAATGCTTTGAAATTTGATCCAGGTTGACTGAATATCAGAATGATCACCCCTTGTCAGTAGTACCTTCATGTGATATATCCTTACGAACACTAGTATTTTCCCCTGTCTATAGGTATCTTCCCAGATGATTTTCCCCTAGTTAGAAGCTTCTTGGAAATTCCGCCTTTGATCAGACCTTTTTGAAATCTCCTTGATGCTAAGTATTGACTTGTAAGTAAAATTGTCCTCTTTGAAAAGTAATCCTGATGTGATGGACATGCAAGTTCTTGATATCGAAATTTATTATAGAATAGCAATGGATGATTAGAGATGGAGATTTGAAGAATCAAAGTGATTAATAATTTTAACAAACATAGGAGTCAGTTTAACACAAATTTTGCTTAATATGCTTTCATAGTGAACCTAGCTTCAATTAGGACTTTTGAAGGTTGTAACGTGGCCATGGTTCGTGTTTTAAGAAACAAAAGATATAAGGCTCAAAAAATTGTTAGCCCACGCCATTCTCCTTGATGTTCTCCAGTCTTAATTTCAATTAATGCAACATGTGTGTTTAATCCCCGAGAGGAATTTCGTAGTCGCGTAGATGATGAAAAGCATAGATAAAGATCCAAGCACTGATGAGAAACATTGATAAGATTCGAACATTGATGAGGAGCCTTGATGTTTCTTGAGATGGCAGTCATAAGATTGTTCTCCAATTTGTTTGTTTTTAATCCCTTGTTTTGCACGGACCAATTCTTTTGAATCTCTGGTCCATCGGGATGCTCTGACTTTTGCCTGAGTCAAGTTTTGATTTCCTTTGACTTAGCGGGATTTATCTTTTTTTTTTATAATTTTTTTTTGCTTTTGATTTTGGAAACTCGTGACTGCCACGCTGATTATTATAAGCTTTGTCTTCATTGTTTTCCTCGATTTTGAATGATGTATTTAGGATGAAGATATTGAGAGCTTCATGGATTCCTTATTCCTGATGGATGCAAGGAAAAGGATGTGCTTGAACCCATTCTTAGATTGTTTCCTCGATCTATGATGATGTATTAAGGAAGAAGATATGCTTAAACCTTCACTTAGACGGACTTGATTTTCCCGAGATTTGAACGTATCATTGAATTAATTGAGATCTACCCTGCCCCTGGTTAAGATTAAGGTTTTTTTTTTAGAAAACAAAAATCCAACTCCTGGCTCGAGGGGGTTAACTACGGATTAACTCCTTATTTCTCCACTATTTAGGAATTGAGACAATGCCTTACATTGTTAGCTAAACCTTATTATTAAAAAGCATACGTCAGTAAAATTCAATTATTTTGTATTTTCATCATTCTCCCTCGAAGTTTGTTAAAGTTGTGCAATGGAAGAGAGAAAAGAAGAATAGAAAGTCATTGATTATTTGTGGAATGGATGATTTCAAAAACATGCATGATTATTTATTCGAATTACTGATCACAAAGTATAAAGTTTATAACAAATAACACTTAGCAAGAAAGAAATTACACATGATAAAGCCTAACTATCTTAGGGTTGAGCATCCTTAGTGACCCACCGATCATATGCGGGCCATCTTCTTCAAAAGTTAATTGCTTATTGTCGATCAGCTCTTGTACCACTTCTTTGAATGAATTGCATTCTTCAATCGAATTCCCGCTACTCCATTATGAAACTCACATTGAACATCCGAGTTGTACCAAAGAGGAAATGAAGACTTCACGAATCTAGTTTGTCTAGGGGTTATTGCTGAATTTTGGACCAAGTATGACCATAATTGACTGTATGTCATAGGAATCGGGTCAAATTGGTGAGTTTTCCCTTCTTGGCGGTTTGGACGCCTATGCTGATTTGGGCGTTGATGGTGATTGTTTCGATTCCAAATTGGTCGATTTTGACGTCGATGTTGGGGTGGAATCTTAGCCTGCTGGTTCTGGGGGTATAGGCCATGACTACTGGTGTTGAAGACCAGGAGGTGGTTGTTGGCATTGAGCATCTACTGCATATGAATATTAATGATAAGGCACAAGAGATGGAGTTTTTGGAGCTTGGTAAGTTTCCCATATTGCATGACACGGACCGTGTCAAAACACCTGCATGGAAGTGTGACTAGAAGCAAGAAACAAAGGCTGACACGGGTGCCCGTGTCGCATGACACTGCCCGTGTCAGCCAAGGCGCTAGGAATTCTGATTTTTGTAGTTTTAAGTGTCTTGGATCATTAAGGGTACTTTGGACATTTTGAATTGCTGAGGGATGACCTAATACTATTAAAACCTATTTGTGAGAAGAGGAAAGGGACTTTTTGGCAGCAAAGAATAGTTTACACGATTGAATATTGGAGAAGTCAAGGTTTTTGGAGAGCAGGAGATTTTCATGCGCGGAAGCAATTGAAGATCAAAGTTCATCCCAATCCTTGTAATGTCTATATTCTGTCTTGTGATTATTTTGAACAATATGAGTAGCTAAACCCCCCAATGCTAGGGGGTGTCCCTGATTTGAATATGTAATGATTATGAATTCCTGAGTCCTTTAATAAAGTATTCTCTATTCAATTTAATTGTATAATGTTTTTATGCCTTCCTGATCGGACAAATTATGATTGATTTACGGTTAACAACCAACTGGACCGCGATTGTTAAGGTTTTTGTACAATTAGACTATATTAGACATCACATCGGACTAGGGATACCCTATAGTTACCAAATTTAACCCTTGATAAAATAAAGGCTTGACTCCATCAAATATCTCTAATGACTTAGGATTTAGGATGAATGGTTAAATGTTTTCCTATTAAGGACTTATAGGAAGATAATCTAAAGGGCTGATAATTGAAGGATATGAACTTGTTGAAGAGATCACGATTCAAGATAGTAACTAGGCAAATTATACACCTTACCCTAGCATGCTCCTCACATCTGTGAAAAAGCCATTCTATATTTCTGCTTTTTGTTAAGTGACAATATCAAAACCAAAACCCCAAATTAAGTTTTTGTTTAATTGAACTACGAATTTAACTCAATAATTTCAAGCAGTCATTGAGATTGATATCTTGGGATTTTCCCATTATTAATGCAAGGTAAAAATAGTACACTTACTATTTTTACCATCACCCCATGAGACAATCTATGGGGGAACATGTTTTTTTACCTTGTTTTGTATTCCTATTGCACTTTTAGCCTGTTTTGTATTCCTATAACTCATTAGCATAAAATTATCGGATAAATATGACTACTACTAACCTTGAATTTCTCAAAACGTCAGTCCTTCGCAAACTTTTTCAATTACTTCTTCGGTATAAAACTATATCTTTTCCATGGACGAGCAAGACCAGGCTTAGGCTTCCTAATGTAGTCTATCATGAGTCATGATTTAAATCCCCTCCAATAAATACGGACATAAGTGATCCACATTTTTTTCAACTTTGAGTCATCAGTAAACTCAAAATCAACTACATTTAAATTAATAAGTATGTATTAGAAGCAAGCTAGAAAGTGAAATCGAATAGATGAAAATTAAAATTATTACCTTAACGTCTGTCCATATGTTATCTTTGATAGGACTTGCACTTGTTTTCAATCATCTATCAATATATTGACTTTGCTACGTGCAAGGAACGCAATATAATTCTTAAAAGTAGAATAGTGTTCACAATCAACTACTTTATAGAACGAATCAAACGAGATCAAATTTTTGTCACCTGAGTTGTGTACTTTTGTGAATTGGGGCATCATTGTGACAACTCTTTGTGATCTTTTTGTTTGAGTATTATTTGTACAAGTATCATTTGTACAAGAATCATTTGTATGATCAGTTTCTTTACTAGTAGATGAAGAATTCGACAATGTCGACGTCTATGTTCAAAAACAACAACAACAACAACAACAAAAACAACAATAACATCAAGAACATAAACAACAACCACAACAACAACATTTCACAACAATGGCAATGAAGGTTACTGTAGATGCATGGAGAAAAAGTTTTACGCACCGTAAACGTGATGACTAAGTAAAGGAGAATATTGTGTTGGTGTTGGTAATGTCTTCCTTCCCAACGATGACGACGGTGTTGGTGTTGCCTTCCTTCTCGACAATGACGACGGTGTTCGTGTTGTCTTCCTCCTTGAGGATGACGGTCGTGTTCGTGTTGTCAACCTCCTCGACGAAAATGACCAGTAAAGAGTAACATTATTAAAGTATCAAAGTATTGAACAAAAATGATAAACAGTGAACGACACTGTTATGGTTAAAATCGTGTATCGTTTCAAAGTACTGATGGTTAGGATCGTTTCGTCTTGTTTCTTTTTTCAGTGAAAAATAGAAACTGAAGAGACAAGTTAGCTAGAAGTGTATAATATTTAAACACGTACCACCACGGTCCAAACTCTAAACTGTAATGATATATTATTTGCATAGTAAAATTTTATAAGAAGCGTCAATGTTTAGCCATTTAAAAATTTTAAATGAAAAAAAATTAAATATATCACAACGGTTGAACTAACCAACTGTTGTGCTATTCATTTTATTATTTATATAAAAATAAATAAAAAATAAAAAATAAAAAGCGCACCTTAACCTTAAAAGAATTAAATACTTGAGTTGGCTGGGGCTCGAACCCATGAAAACTTTAATATATCACCACGGTCAGTTAAGTAACCATTATTATATCTTAATAATTATTAATTAAAAAAATAAAAAAATAGTTTGCGCCTGAGTTTAGAGATTTCACCACGGTGTTTGGAATAACCATGGTGACCTGAGCGTTGTTGTTTGCACGTTTTATAGTAGTGACTATTTCGATCTGATTTCGATTTATCCAAAAATACCGATCCGATTTCAATCATTAAAAACTGTCTATCCCTGTTTTGATCCGATTTCAATTATCCAGATTATAATTTCGATCCATTTTTTAAGAAGTTAAATATCCGGACCAACCCAAAAAGAAAACAACCCTAATAATATCAATTTAAGATGTCCACTTAGCATTACTCTTTTACTAAAAAAATATGTAAAATCAAGTTTTGTGAGCGAATAGGAGTTTAAAATTGGTAAATTACTTTTTGAAAATTTTAATTATATTATATTTAACCAATACAACCTAATTTTTTATTGTTTAAAAAATACAACATAATTTTTTTTAAACGTATTCCGCCTACGATAAATTTTAAATTATTTTTATAATTTAACATTTTAAAATAATTTAATTAATTTGTGTGATATTTCTTATACTGACAGTGTTTTATAGTTAAACTTTTCAAAATTATTATTTTTATATTAAAATAAGTGTTGCTTTTGTAAAAAAAATTGTCCTAAAATAACGTTATTTTTAATTTCTAATGTTATTTTAGATTTCATCTTCTAATTATATTTTCTAACTAATATTTCTAATTTATTATTTTTTTCATTATATTAATATTAATTCAAATACATCAATATTTAATAAAATTATTATTTTCTTTCTTTCGTTTATCACATGTACGTGAAGGTGTCACTTATGACAAATTTCAGATGAAATAACACCCATATTTCTTAAATTAATCTTGGGTTTACAATTTTTTTTACCATTAAGAATAAATAATAAAACTGAACCAAAAGCAAAAAAAACCTTGTACACATACACTGCCCTAATCTTGATCTTCTCTCTTCATTCCCACACCGATCCAAAAAACACTCAGTACTATTCCAGTTAATGATTCTCCATATTCAATTTCAATTTCAAATTCACTTTCAATTTCAATTTCAATTTCGTTAACCCTTTCTCCCAAACTTTGAATTTTCCCCCTTTTGTTCATGTCATTTTTCTTTCATTTTCTCAGGTGGTGTTTTGTTTTTGCAGGTGAAGCACTGATTCAGACATGGCTAGTGCGGCGAGTGCTGTGGATGCTTCTGGAAACCCGATCCCTACATCGGCGGTGTTGATGGCATCGTCGAAGCACATTGGACTAAGGTGTCATTCGGAAAATCTGGAGTTTCTGAAATGTAAGAAGAAGGATCAGAACCCTGAGAAGTGTCTCGATAAAGGCCGTGATGTTACTCGATGTGTTCTTGGACTGTGAGTTTCTCATTCTCTTCCATTTTTTTTAACCTAAGATTCAATGCATCTGCCAGCATATTTGAATTTTAACCTAAGATTCAATATTCAATTCAATTTGTAGCAATAGTGAGTTTTGTCGGAGTGTAGTAGTGTGCTGCGTTGAATTTTTCAGTTCTTGATCATCCTTGGATTTTAAATCTATCCGAGCCACTTCAAAGGGTATTTATTGCATTTATAGATACAAAAGGTAATTTAGTACCTTAGTATTCCATTTCGCTGTTTTGGAAATGGATAAATCAAAAATTGAGTTGTCCATCTTGTAAGTTTCTTTGAATTAAGGTGCCTAGAGTCGACTACTGAAGATTCAACTTCTCATCTTCTGTAATGCCATTTATCTCGCTTCTGGTCAATGTTTAACAATAAGTACACATTTCCCTTTTAGCCATGTAATTATGTTATTATGTCATATACTCTTTTTCTTGTTTCCTTCTGTTTTCCTGCTTGATAAATGGATATATAAAATGGTGATAATTCAATTGATCTTGGAAACAAAAGGAACCCGGCCTTTTGCTTTTAGATGCTGTGTTTATATCCCAACTTAGAACTAGTCTTGGATGTTTGGACTGTTTTAAAGTTTTAAAATTAATCTAATTGACAGAAAATTTGGTGATGAATTTATTAAATCTGAGTCCTTATTTTTTAATCTTACGAGACCATGACATAATCTTATTTCACAAAGTCACATGTCTTGTCTTCTATATATTGTAACATGTTTCTTTTTCTTATCTACTAAATTTAAAATATATCAATGCTAATGCCTTTTTTTAGTGGTTATGCATCAATATTAATTTTCTCAATTTCTTTTATCAATACAATTTCTTCAATCAATCAACTGTAAATCAAACGAAATGTTTACAATTCATCACCAAATTTTCTATTAATTAGATAAACTTTAAAATTTCACAAGTAACCCTGCATGGGATATTTGGTAGTTTCTATCAGAAATCGATTCTCGTGGATGTTATTATATTTAGTTTAATAGTCTTATGGATTCACATCCCTGTTTATTGCTGATTTCAACATCTTATAACCAAATTCGTTGATCCTAATACTTTGTACTTTGTTTATAGAATAGAACAGTTCTTTAGTACCATATATTAGATGGATGTCACACCACTGCCATTGCTCTAGTTTTCAAATATCGAAAGATGCAACACATTCAAAAAAATTACTGGATGATGACTCCTTGGCCTTTTGAGAGGAGGCATCATTATTTTTTCTTTTATGGAACAAAATATTTATGGATTTAAAGGATATGGTGCATCGTTGTAGTAAAACAGTTTTACTCTGACATCCAAAGAAAATCCACTATTTTGCCACATCACTCTACTTTTTATTTGTATTTTGAAATTGGTGGTATGAGACATGGAAAAATGGGGCTCTCTCATTGAACGTCATTGTCAGCGTGAAACTGTTTTATACTTACAATGTAGGGCCATTAAACTCCAAATTTATCATCAATATCACACATGCACTGCCTCTTTCAATATAATTGACCCTGTGTGTTCAAAGATACATATAGTTTTTTTTTAATTTTTTATGATGAAAGATGTTTTCTAACGTACCTGATTTTTTTTAATGATTTATTTGATATGTTATGGTTAAGCTTACAATCAGATGACTGCCGAGTTTTTATCAGTTTCTGTCGTTGTCTGAAGTGTTCTCTGTTACACTTACACAGCTGATTTTCTCCTCATGAATTCCTGATAGTAATGAAATGCTTGTTATGCAGTCTGAAGGATTTACACCAAAAGTGCACGAAAGAGATGGACGATTATGTTGGTTGCATGTACTACCATACAAATGAATTTGACTTATGCCGCAAAGAGCAAGAAGCATTTGAGAAAAAATGTTCTTTGGAATGAAATCATTCACACTGCTATTGCTTAAAATAATATCACAGGCAATTTGGAGTTGAGCGCCTGTTTTCCCAAATTCATTTGATCTTTTCTTTGTTTGTATGAATCTTTACCATTGATCATCTAAATGCCTCTGAAGAAATGTATGATGCAGGACAGAACAAATCAATTCCTCTTCAAACATAATAACTTAGATGAGATTTTGAAAGTTGGAACATGCTTGTAATTTAATTGTGTTCAAAAGGAACATTTATTGTGCTTTCACATAAAATGAAGATAGCATGTCAAACTACATACATCCATGATGATGATCTTGTTGGTTTTTGTTTGAAAAATCAGTATTCTGTAGCATTGTGCAGGTTTGGTGATTTTGACCACTTTGTGGAGTAACAACCCGGAAAAATAGCTCAATAAATTGATTGTAATGCAAGCATTTATCACATAAATGCTTACTAGTATATATAGAATTTTTATAATGAAAGATAAACAGGTGCCGAGTTACCATTCTATAGAATCTATGACTGACTACTGTGGACCAAAATTGCGAAAAAGAGGATGAAATGCTCGAATGAGTAAATAGAAAGCAACAATTTATCAAGGTTTTATGCTTTTAGTCTTGTAAGCTAATGAGTTTTCAAAAACATGGGTTCTATTCACCAGTTATATCCCATCACTTTTTGAGATTTAAAATGGAATGTAATTTGATGCATTTTTAACTGAAATATATTAGCATGAATTAGTATATAAAAAATAAATTAAAATTAAATATCACTCGCTCTTAGAAGAATGAGGAATCGAAACAGATATTAAGAAGGAAAAAAATAAAAAACCAAACACATATAATATCTTGTACATATACAGGACCTATCCCACCTTCCTCAACCTTTTGTGTCATATGAAATTTCAAGCCTCCTAGAGAATCAACTGCACAATATTGTGAACTGCAATGTTTTTCTCTATATTTCCATCAAATAGTATCTCAGTTGCAATGTCTTAGTCTCACATACACGCATATGCAAGGATCAAACTACTTGCATGGTTGCTCTCATATTTTGTCGTTTTCAGTTTCGTCTTCCAAAAGCTTGCAAATCGGTTTCGTGGTGTAGTTGGTTATCACGTCAGTCTAACACACTGAAGGTCTCCGGTTCGAGTCCGGGCGAAGCCATTCGTTTTAGTTTTTGAGATTTTTTTTATGATTTTCAGTACAAAAACGGTGGGTCAATGTTGGCTGGATTCATGCCATCGATGGGGCCCCAAGTCATGCACATTAGTTGGTTTTCACATAACAACACATTTCTAGATTTTTGTAGCTAGAATTGATAATTTAGGTCACAATTGACCCCTATTTTATTTTTTAGTTCTTCATCTTATAAAACTTTTAATTTCATTATTTCGGTAAGCTAGAATTCGTTGGCTTCTTACTAATCATCTCTTTTGTTACCTGGAGATTGTATTTTCGCCAAAGAACCGAACTCCACAATTCATCATTTACTTCATGAAGCTTCCATCTTATTTTTAAAATGCAAGCTTTGTTCATGACATCTAATCTTCTCAACGTTAGCCCACAAATATCCTTAGGTTTAGTAATGCATGATGTCTTCTTTCATCTCTTCCTTCGCCTCAAATGAACTTCCTTTGAAGTTTGTGAATTTTCTGTATACAAGCTTTTAGAATATTAGTTTTCATCATTTGGTATATAGGTTAATGCTTCTATCACACTTTTATCAAGTGTAACTCGTCCTGCAAATTCCAACTGAGCTCTTTTCCATGATGTGAGTTTAGATTGCACTTGCTCAATGATGTCCTTACATGAAGGTGAGAAAAACACAAGAAAAGAGGTTGAATTGGGTTGATAATTTAATTTAAAGTCTGATGGATAATAGTGGAATTATATAAAGGATGAGTAAAGAATATAGCAATACAATACACAAGCAATTTATTCTAGTTCTTCCTACAAATCAGGGGTAGTTCATTCCCCTTTCACTTCTAAGAGATTTCCACTATAATTGAATCTGATTACAAGTTACTCAAGCACACAAACAAGAGATTTCCAATGCCTAAACACACAAGTAAGAGACTTCAATGCTCAAGAATACAAGTAAGAGACTTCTGATTACTCAAGCACATAAGAAAGAAACTTTACAAATGCTAAAGCATATAAGTTAGAGACTTCACAAATACTCAAGCATACAAGCAAGAGACTTCACTGCTCAAGAATACAGGCAAGAGACTTCTAACAATCTATCTAACAGATAAATGATAGTGATAGAGTGATAGTTACACTTGATATACAACCAGAGGTGTAAATAGATTAAAACACATAAAACTCTAAGACTTAAGAACTTCTAAGAATGTACAATGGTAAGAAGTTCTAAGTTAGATTGTGCCCTTTGCTTTGATAGAGTAACTTCTTATTTTCTTGTCAAGACGCAATATTGTATCTTTCTCCAAATCTTCACCTCCTTTTAGAGTTCCAAGAAAGAGTCGATGGAGAAATCTTCAAAAACAAGAGAGACTTTATAGAGAAGCATCAACAAATTTGTTGAAAAGCTTCCTCAAATGGATGATGTCATTGCAACCTCATTTGAACTTCCTTTGCTATAAAAGGAATTATCAGTTGTAAACCTTCAGGATTCTGCAACTTTCTACTCAGTTATTACATGATCAAAATAGGACAAATTAACCTCAAAGTTTGATAGAGATGTGTCAGGACTTCCTCAATTCTTGAGTTTTGACTGGGTTAAGATTCTAGTCCTTCAGAGTCTGAGTATTGGTTTCTAATCCTTCAGACTCTAACTCTTTAGAGATTGGCTTGTTCAGAGTTTGGAGACATCAAATTCTGATCATCTTGATCAAAAGTTGATTATTTAGAATCTAATCTTCAGAATCTGCCTCTTAAAGAGTTTATCTTTCAATGTTCTGTGCAGTTTCAGAATTGACTTTCAATTAGTATATTTATCTTTGTACCTTCACACTTGAACATACATTAGTGTACCTAATTGTTCTTTAAATATTGGGTTATCATCAAAACCAAGGGATATGGTATAAACCAATTTTGTTCCAACATTATAATCCTCTTTCTTAAGATCCTTCCCAGTAAGAGGGACCCCTAGGTATTTTCCTAAGAATGATGTTTCAATAAATCCACCTATTTGCACTAGCTGCTCACGCACATTACGCCACACATCATTAGAAAAATAATTTTGCATCTTTTCTTGACTCACTTGCTGCCCTGGTATCTTACAGAATTGATTCAAAATTCTAGTCACACAATGCATTTAATTTACTGTTGTTTCCCCAAATAATAGCATATTGTCTGCAAACATGAGATAAGAGATATAAGGACCTTGTTTTCCCACCTTAAAAGCTTTCCAGTTACCATTACCCACTGAATGGGATATGAGATGAGAAAGCTTATTTAGGCACAACATAAATATGTATGGGGAGATTGGATCGCCTTGTTGAATACCCCTCTAAGGTTTGAAATAATCCAATTTTTCACCATCCACTTAATATTCGTTTCAACACTCGTCACCCAACGTATAATAAGATTTATGATTTTCTTGGGCATTAGTATTTCCTCTATAACTTTCCATATAAAACACCAATTGAGCTTGTCATATGCTTTAGAGAGGTCAACTTTAATTGTAAAGTATCCTTTTTTGCCATTCTTAGTGCGCACACTATAAACTACCTCTTGAGCCACAATAATGTTGTCGTGGATATTTCTACCTAGAAAAAATCCACTTTGGAAAGGAGAAACTAGGACGAGAATGGATTCCTTGAGGCGCTCCGCTACAAATTTGCTAACCACCTTATAGATGGTGTTGCACAAGGATATTGGCCTGAATTGAGTTACAAATTCATGTTGACTTGTCTTAGGAATTAAGCAAATATCCATTTGGTTTACACTAGAAAAATCACTGGGATGGTCCTAACTTAGCTTGACAAATTCACAGACCTTGGTCCCCACTATATTCTAAGATTTTTGGTAAAATACCGTTAGGAACCCATCATGTCCTGGGGATTTCCAAGATTTCATACAAAACATAGCAATCCTGATTTATTCATCCGTATTTTTGTTTAGATTCATCAGAACATCATTATCAAGTCGAGGATAACTTTAGGTTATTTGTATCCATTCTTGTATAGTATCTTGAAAAGCAAATACATCTTTATAATTCAAGACAACCATATCCCTAGTTTTGCTTTCCTCTTCAATCCATTTACCTTAATTATCTCTTACCATGACAATTTTGTTCCTCCTTCTACATTGGACTGCTTTATGGTGGTAATACTTCATATTTCTATCTCCCTCTATGAGCCATTTAACCCTGGACCTCTGAAACAACATAACTTCCTCCTTGTTTAAAAGTCATTAATCTATTTATAAAGTTTATCCTCTAGTCTCCTTAAGTCACCAACATTATTTCTTGAATGAATATGAATTTTGATACATTCTGTTGTACTCCAAAAATTGCCCTCTAACGTTTTCCAAGATATTCCCCTACATGGTTGGTCACAAACCCTTGCCTAAGGAAAAAGAAAATCTTTGAGTGATGTTTTAAGCACCTTTCGATTGGCCTCATGACAAGCCTTTCGATTGATCTCATGACAAGCCTTTCGATTGACCTTGTGACAAAGCCTTCGATTGGCATTCTGAAAGACCCCTTCGATTGGCATTCCAAAAGATCCTTCGATTGGCACATCAGAATATACTTCAATGGCATGACAACAAAGTGTCCTTGGATGGGCATATCAACAAGGTGATATTTTGATTGTTTCAAATTGAAGGAAATCAAAGAGTACAAGAACTGAGTTTGATTAGGTTTAATTGGATATGAGAATTTCCAAGATCAAGCAATCAACGCAATGTTTCAATTAATCTAAGAAGTTATGATATGGAAGTTCTGAGCATTTCAAATCACGACTCAGAGTCATCGAAGAGAACATACTTGGAAGCTGGCAAAGAGGCCCATTCGAAGGATGCATTCAGAAGTCCATTT